ACCGGTGTCTGTGCTTGAGCATAGCACACTGTACCTACCCTGTGATTATGTTAGTGTAGCACACTGTACCTAACCTGTGTCTGTGCTTGACCTAGCACACTGTACCTACCCTGTGACAATGTTAGAGTGTAGCACACTGTACCTAACCTGCGTCTGTGCTTGAGCCTAGCACACTTTACCTACCCTGTGATTATGTTAGTGTAGCATACTGTACCTAACCTGTGTCTGTGCTTGAGCCTAGCACACTGTACCTACCCTGTGACAATGTTAGAGTGTAGCATACTGTACCTAACCGGTGTCTGCGCTTGAGCCTAGCACACTGTACCTACCCTGTGATTATGTTAGTGTAGCACACTGTACCTAACCTGTGTCTGTGCTTGAGCCTAGCACACTGTACCTACCCTGTGACAATGTTAGAGTGTAGCACACTGTACCTAACCTGTGTCTGTGCTTGAGCCTAGCACACTGTACCTACCCTGTGACTATGTTAGAGTGTAGCATACTGTACCTAACCTGTGTCTGTGCTTGAGCCTAGCACACTGTACCTACCCTGTGACAATGTTAGAGTGTAGCATACTGTACCTAACATGTGTCTGTGCTTGAGCCTAGCACACTGTACCTACCCTGTGACTGTGTTAGAGTGTAGCATACTGTACCTAACCGGTGTCTGTGCTTGAGCATAGCACACTGTACCTACCCTGTGCCTGTGCTTGAGCTTGCTGTTGTCTTGCAGCATCTTCCTGCTGCTGCTTTTGTCTTAGAGCCTGTTGCTCCTGTAGCGCAAACTGCGTGGAGAGGACATGCTCATTCTCTGCAGGCATCGAGTCAATGGCTTTGGACTGCAGCAGCTTGCTCTCCCAGATCTGAAGACAGATTGACATTTACTCACACATTCAGGTGTTATTGATTGGGCAGGTACTAATACTACTACCAACATTGATTTATGCACTGAGAGAATGGGAATCATTTCATTAACCTGTGGATATGGGTTCTAGCATCAGGTTTTGTAAAAGCAACAAGCCAAAGTGCTCTCAATATTTTCATGCAGTGATTGGTAATTTAGGAAGCTTTACATTTCATGCCTAACAGGTAATAGAACATCATTTACACTAACAGGTTATAGAACATCAGGGTGCGAAATTAACGCGAGTCCGGATTCAAATAATCCCTGATTTACTGTCGGACTCCCGGATTTGACATATGCAGGAGTCCATGTGACTCCCTGAAAATCCTGCTATATACTAACTAGTTCATTCCAGAGCACCGCCTCACCGAATTACCGTATTTTTTCAGCAAATCAAATGTCTAAAGAAAATTTGGCAGGCGTGCAAACCGCATGAATCTTTAAAATAAGCACATGCGTTATTGTTAATATCTTTAGTTTTAAACTTCAGTCTGCAGACTCCCTCATTTTGCTGCTGACTCCCTCTTTTTGAGGGCAGGGAGTCCGTTGGACTCCCTTGTTCAAAAGTTAATTTCTACCCCTGGAACATAGTCACTTTTGTTGAAAGAATACTTACTTTCACACTAAATAGGATAAGTGAAAATATGATGTTATTCGCATGTCACTCTTCACGCTGAGCTCTTCAGTTAATTCCATAATGGGAAAAGCACAAGCATTTCCAGATCACCACTCTTGTATTCAAACACAGTACTTCGAACGAACAGCACTTGTGTGACATAATCCTACACTGCATTAATTACCTGTTTCAATTCCTGCAGGACTTGCTCATCCACTCCTTCATCCAGGAAGTATTCTCGTACGTTATTTACAACATCTTCTACCACGCTTCGATAGAGTTTCGGCTATTGAAAGATCACGATAGCAATTAGTAAACAAAAATCACATTTCTATGCTGAAGTACATACTTTATATGAATATCTTATAGCTACACAAGGTTTCAGTTTCTTTTGAGGAAAAATTTGACAAAGGAGGTAATGGCCAGTTTGGAAAAAAACGCGTACATGGTGGATTCAAATACAGGATGTATTGATATACTTATAGGGTACATAGATACAGAATACACTTATCAGTAAATACCAGAACATTTTCACAACGGCGATGTTAAATTTGACAACGACGGTGCACCACTGTGCCTCTTATGTATGAGAAACCTTGCTACATATAAGCCAAGATTCTGAGAATTTTATGAAAACAATGACAGAATTCATATATATATTCAATATACTGGCACCTAATTTTAGCACTTATAACAATTGATAAATGAATATACTTCTCAGGATCAAATAAGTTTGGAGAGACAGGTTCAGGGACTGAATGCACCATCATGTCACGTGGTGCTAATCACTACTAAAATGTAGAAGGTGGGCACCGCTGGACTATGAGAGAGCGACAGCAAAACTCTTTCCTGGAATTGAGGGTGATACTCCATTAGGAGTGTTCACAACTTTAATGTCATTAATGGTCATAATAACATATATATATATTATATATGGTCATGGTCATATATTAGTTTGTGGTTTAATGTCATTTAGGTTAGGGTTAGGGTTAGGGTTAGGATTATCAATCATTATAATCATTAATCATTAATGATATCAAAGTTGGGAACACTCTTAAAACGATCATTGCGAGAATTTTGCTCAGAAAAACGAACGATAGTCACTTTTCGCTCAATTCGGCTAACCCGCCCATTAAAGCGATCATTGCGAGTTTTTTTCAGCGTTTTTTTAGTGTTTATTCTTACTTTCATGATGCCTACCGTTGTTGCTTGATAACAGTAATTGTTTGAAATAATAAATAAAATTCTGTTAAGAACCGCATGCAAAGACAAAATCATGCACGATTACAATTTTGCGTTTCTCTGTTGATTTTTGCGTCATGTCTCGCACTTTCTCGCGGTACCTGCGAGACGTCAACAAGGGTACAGTAATGCAAATTCGCACCGGAGATATTTTGGGTCAGATGTAAACACAGATCGAGGTGCATATATAGTAGCGTAACACAAACAAGAGTGTAAGTTGTAACCTTATAAATATTAGTCTTCAAAGTCCTGAGAGACTATAACGAAGACGGAGAGAGAAGTGGATCAAATCCTCATTGCGTACCGCCAGCGAGAATACTTATCACACACAAATAGATGCCCCTTTGTTTTAATTATGTTCCCGCTTGTTGGAGACGCCATTTTGTGATTTTTGAAAGTCCTGACTCAAAAAATTTATTGCTGGTATGATGTGGTCAAATCAATTTCTCTATGGCTATGCTATAACTGCATAAAATATTGGTGTTTTGAATGTTGGTGTAATCAGTGATATTTTCGCTGTCAGTGTGAGATATATTCAGCTAATAT